AAGTAGCAATATTGGTGGCCTAATATGAAGGCAGAGATTGCTACTTTCGTGGGCAAGTGTCTTACTTGCGCCAAGATGAAAGTGGAATACCAAAAGCCCTTGGGACTATTGCAACAACCAGTGATACCTGAGTGGAAATGGGAAAGGATTACTATGGACTTCGTGACCAAATTGCCAAAGACAACACACGGATTAGATGCTATCTATGTAATTGTCGATAGATTGACAAAATTTGCTCATTTCCTACCAATAAAAGAATCCTACAAGATTGAAAAGCTGACCCGAAACTACATCAAGGAGGTCGTGAAACTCCATCGAGTGCCAGTATCTATTATCTCGGATCGAGATAGCAGATTTACTTCAAGATTCTGGCAATCTATTCAGAAGGCAACGGGAATACAGCTAGATATGAGCACCGCCTACCACCCATAGACGGATGGTCAGAGTGAGCGTACCATCCAGACACTTGAGGATATGCTCCGCTCTTGCGTGATTGACTTTGGAAAATCATGTGATGCCCACTTGCCTCTGATCGAATTCTCTTATAACAACAGTTACCATACGAGCATGAAGGTTGCTCCCTTTGAGGCTGTCTATGGTCGTAAATGTAGATCGCCCCTATGCTGGGCCGAAGTGGGGGACACTCAACTAGCAAAAGGGCAATCGCCAGCCAGTGCTCTTACAAGACCCGAAATCATTCGTTAAAGAACCGAGAAGATAGTCCAAATCAAAGCTCGACTTCAAGCATCGCGAGACCGACACAAGAGCTATGCTGACAAACGGCGAAAGCCATTAGAATTTCAAGTCGGGGATCGCGTGTTGTTAAAGGTCTCTCCTTGGAAATGAATGATTCGCTTTGGGAAACGAGGAAAATTGAACTTGCGGTACATTGGACCGTTCGAGATTCTTTCCCGAATTGATCCAGTGGCTTACAAGCTGCAGCTACCCGCCGAGCTCAGCAACGTGCACCCAGTGTTCCACATTTCGAATCTGAAAAAGTGTCTATCAGATGAAACCCTTGTCATTCCTTTGGAGGAGATAGAGATAAACGAGAATCTTCTGTTCGTCGAAGAACCAGTCGAGATTATGGACAGGGAGGTGAAGCGTACCATGCAAAGCCGCATCCCGATCGTGAAGGTTCGATGGAGCGCAAAACGCGGACCGGAATTCACGTGGGAACGTGAAGACCAGATGAAGCAAAAGTACCCTCACTTATTCTTTCCTTCACGATCCTAGTTTTCAAAAGAATTTCGGGATGAAATTCCCTCTAACGGGGGGGATGATGTCACAACTTGCATTTTAGCTAGGAAATTCTATTCCGGGGTAACCATTCAAGTATTGTAAAACATATACTCTAAATAAATCTCACTCAATGCTCATTTAGATTCACCATTCATATTCATCAAAGAGTCTGAAGCCCTAAGATCCATGGTTTAAGTCCATATTGGACTAGGAGTTCCTTATTGGGCCTAAAGGACCAATAAGCACCCAATTCAACTTTATTGGACTTAGAAGCTCTAATTGGATCCTAATTGGACCCAATTCATAAATATAAAACATTTTGGACCATTTGGGCCTAGAATGATTCATTCTAACCCTAATGGGCCTTATTGGGCCATAACTAATCCAATTAACCTTAGTGAGCCATAAGCCCATTCTTTTATTCTATTTGGGCCGTGAGTGTTGCCAATAGCCCAATGGTCCGAAATTTTTTATGTTTAGGATCCAAATATACTAACAAAAGTTAATGGTCCCAAACCACTCCACCCTTTCTTCTTGGCCCAAAATCTTGGCCCAAGTATAAATAAAAAAAAGGGGGAAACGATGTGAAATGGGGGGTGGGGTTGACTTGGAGATGCCACCTCCATTTTATACATCATGTATCCATGTAAGGACCATCATATATCCATGCTAGTCACCTCACCTCTCTCTCTCTCTCTCCCTCTCTTCTTCTACTCTCGGCCGAGAGCCACAACACACACACACACCTTTTCAAAAAACTCTTAAATATCTCAAGAATACTCCTCCTTCCATCAAGATTTTCGAGATTTTTGCATGTATTCCGAGAAGGTTCTTCACAAATATCATCAATCCTTGTTAAGATCTTGTGAAATCAAGTTGAATTGGTTCATTCTTTAGCTAAATCACTCCATATCAACATCTATTTTGTGATTTTGCTTCCTAGAACTTCTTAAGTTCGAAATCCACTCAAGAAAGCTTGCTAGGATAAAAAATCTTCTTCATTTCTTCTTCAAAAACCGAAAAATCAAGCAAAGGTGAGTTCATACCCCCTTGTTTTCGGTTTTCATATGATTTTTGGGGGAGAATGCAAGTAAAATGTTTAGATCTATGTGTTATATGCATGTTTTGTGTGAATTCTTTGTTTATTTGGTAAAAATGTGTTAGATCTTAGTGAATCTCAAAATTTTAAGTATTATTTAGCAAAGTTCAATGAACTATGACATTATATACATCATATTATCAAGCCAAAAGTGATTACCTGTTTAAGATACAAAATATTTCAACAAAAACCTTGTTAAAGGACAAAATTGTCAAGAAAACAAAAGATAAGGGCAAAAAGTGACATTTATGTTTTTATAAAGGCCAAACGGGTCCTACATGTATAAAAATGTATTTTTATATCAAACATACGTTAAAAAGGGCCAAAAATGCAAATTTGAGCTTAATGGGCCAAAACCTTTGGGCCTCACGGTTTTGGGCCCAATTTGCGAAAAAATGATGTTTGGGGTTTAAAAATGTTATTTAGCCAAAAGTTTTAGTAATAAATGTAAATAAACCAAATTTAGGGGTGAAATTAACAATTATTTTCAAATTGGATCAAAAATGTAAAATTTTCCAAAATTGGGCTGAAAGTGTAAATTTTTACAAACAAGGGGCTGAAAATGTACTTTTCTTCAAAACAGGGTTCTAAATGTGAAAATACAACTTTTTGGGCTAAATCCGTGAAATTCCAAACATTTGGGAAAAAATTACAAATTTTCATAAATTATGGACTAAAGTGTCATTTCTACAAAACTTTCGGCCTTAATTACAAATTGGAGGTTTATTGGCCGAAAATGTCATTTTTTTACAAAAGAAAGCTTCTTACCATCCATCTAGTAAACCTTGAGCTAAAACAAACAACGGAACAAAACAAAAGAAACGAAATACGTCGACAACTATTTATTGGGCCTAATATTCACATTTCTTGGTCATTGGGCCCTAAGGGCCCAATTAATTGTGTATTGAGCCTAATGTTTTCCATGACATGTTTATTGGGTTTTGCGACCCACTTACATGTTAATTTGGGCCTAAGTTATGGATTACATGTTTATTGGGCTTTTGTGGTCCATTTACATGCCTATTGGGCCTAAATTACACTTTTACATGTGATTGGGCCTTTGTGGCCTAATTTCATACTAATAGGGCTTGGAAATGGAAATTTCATATGTTAGTAAGCCGTAATGATACATTTACGTAGTCATTAAACTTTGTAAACTTATTCATGTACCTTTCGAATACAAAAACATATCACATATACGTAAACATTAAACATAGTACAAAAAGAGGTTGAGAATCTATTCAGACTTGTCGGTTGGCACCACTAACTGTATAATCGTAGCCTGTAGTTATAATCAAAGTTTCCTGGTAGAAAAGCATGAGTTTGTGTATAGATCTATACGGGGTGACCCCCCACGCCTTATCTGTTCGCTACAGCTAGACTAGGCCAATCTAGGGCGACAACATCCTTAGCAAGACGGACATTTGGAAAAATACCAAGACGGACGACCTAGTCATTATCATGCATGGTTATAACGGCTCATATAGGGATTCAATACCAAAAGTAAACTTTCGAAGATAAACTCTTCGATTGTGTCAATGCAAAACAACTTATTTAACGATGCAAGAATGTAGTCATTGTTATAAAACAGAAAATATCGGATTTTCTGGGGGAAATTATTCATATACATTTATCATTTATTCACAATACAATGAAACTAAACTACTCTTTTATAAGCTATAACTATGAAATTCACACATGCATTTATACTTGATTTTCACAACACTTTCAGACATTTTACAGAAAATATCGGATTTTCTGGGTTTTTATGAAAGATACAAAGACTTTTACGCAAACATACTTATGAACTCACCAACACTATATATGTTGACCGTTTTCAAAATAACTTGTATTCTCAGGTAATCGTTAAGCTGGAAGATATACAAGTGTGTAGGGTTTTGTTTTATGTAACAACACTTATCGTACTTTTAACTATTTGAACTTATGTATTTTAACAATGTACTTGATGTAAACAATGCTAGTTATATTATGTAATGTTGGTGATGATCGTGTTATGATTCATGTATATTCATTGTGATGATTATTCAATTGTTAGTCACACGAGCCCCTGAACGTTTTCGCCGTCTGGTTCGGGAGTGTGTCAGGTTTGGAGGAGATAGTTTCAACAGCAGATGAAATTTATAAAATCTTAGAGAAAGGATTTGCTAAAAGACAGTACAATGGAGACCCTTTTGAATAAACAAAGTAGTCATTCTCACTCCATATTTTCTATCACATTTCACATTAAGGAATGAACTCCAAAAGGAGAAGATATTATTAGACGTGGAAAGCTGAATCTTGTTCATCTTGCTGGTTCCGAAAGAGGCAAGAAATGAGAAAAGGTTTCATTTGATAGGGATAGTAAACTCCAGAAGGACATATACCTTATAGGTATTATTATTATAATAATAATAATAATAATAATAATAATAATTATTATTATTATTATTATTATTATTATTATTATATTGGCATTATTTGAATTACAGAAATGTAAATTACCTATAATAATGTCTTTTTTAAATTTTTTTATTTGATAGGCATAGTAAATTAACAAGGTTGTTGAGAGATTCTTTGGGAGGGAAAACAAAGACATGCATAATTGCAACTATCTCTCTCTTGTGAAAGTTGTTTGAATAAATTGTGAACTCATGTAGAAATGAATGCTGGAAGCAGGAGAAGCCATTGCATCTACATGTTTACTATTCAGAAAGAAGCAACAAATGAGAAAAGGTTTCATATTTCCTTGAAGAATTTACAGGTTATTGGAATTATATTTACATCTCTGAAATTACTAACATGGGGATTTTATTACTTATTATGAATAGGGTGAGCAGTGGAAATGACTACTTTCACTTCTTAATTCTCTTGACCTAACCACGCTTCATTTTTGGTAATTGCTTCTTCAGCAATGGAATGAAACCTATCTACATTATCATAAAGTTGATACAAAGCAAACATATTATTTATCCATGGAGTTTCGTCAAGGGCGAGCATTGACTAATGTCATTGCGAATTTTGATATTCAAGATGCATATTCTAGTGCTTTGAATAAAATGCGACATGAACTTGAAGAAATCACTGAGCAGGTAATCCTTTAAAATCTTTCTAACATGATTAATATGTTCTATTTTTTTAACTATTGCATTATAACAATTGTAGGACCAAGATATGACACTTGGGAATGGTGGTTTAGGTAGACTTGCATCTTGCTTTTTGGACTCCATGGCAACTTTAAACCTACCAACATGGGGGTATGGTTTAAGGTACAGGTATGGCCTCATCAAACAGTGCATTTCTAAAGCAAGGCAAGAAGAAATAGCAGAAGATTGGCTCGAGGTCTGGACCCCATCCCTCCCCACCCCACCTCATATTTTCCATTTACTTATTTCTTTACAATTAATCATTTCTAATTTTCTTTATTATTTCAAAAGTTTAGTCCTTTGGAAGTTGTCAGGCATGATGTTGTGTTTCCTATCAGATTCTATGGTCGTGTTGAAGTCCTCCCTACAGGATAGTAAGCACAACTACAAATACGTTGTTTGACTTTGACTTCGACTTTGACTTGAATTTGGGTAAATTTGTTGCAGCCGAAAATGGGTTGAGGGAGAGGTTGTAAAATCCCTAGCATATTACATCCCAATTCCTAGATACAAAACTAAAAACACAAATAGTCTTCGCCTTTTGGAAGCCAAAGCAAGTGCTTAGGACTTCTATTTGTTTCAGTTTAATGATGGACAATATCAGTCTGCTGCTGAGCTACATGCTAGAGCTCAACAGGTTGGTTGTTTTAAATCATATTTTCCCAGTTTGACAAAAAGTTCATATCTTTAGGACATTATTTCAAGATTCAAGGAAAGAAAAAAAAGTATTAAAAGATAAAATAATCTTTTTATTTTGAATTTGTAACAATCGTCGATTTATAAGTATTAAAAGATAAGATAATAAAGTTTGAACGTTTATGTTTTTTAGGACATTATTTCAAGATTCAAGGAAAGAAAAGAAGGAAGAAAACGGGAGTGGTCATAGTTTCCTACAAAGGTTGCAGTGCAACTGAATGACACACATCCTACTCTTGCAATACCAGAACTTATGAGATTGTTGATGGATGAAGAAGGGCTAGGGTGGGATGAAGCCTGGGATGTGACTTCAAGGTGCCTTATAAATTTTATTATAAAAAATAAACATGTTACTTTTTGTTTTTGACCTCAAATAATAACAAAGAGTTTGTTGTTGAGTGTTGACTAGGTCAATTGCTTATACAAATCACACTGTTCTTCCTAAGGCATTGGAGAAATGGTCACAAGTTGTGATGTCAAAGCTTCCTCCTCGCCACATGGAAATGGTTAAAAACAGACAAGTGGGTCAATAACGTAGACCTACTTGTGGGTCTGCGGGAGGTATGCTGCTTTCGTTTTCTTTCTATTATTATGTAAAAATGACCAAAATGCCCTCTATTATTAGGATTTACATATCTCCTGCTGATTGTTATATCTTATCCTCTCTCTCTCCAAAAGTTTGCTGACAACCCAGAACTTCAAGCTGAATGGGAGTTAGCCAAAATGGCCAATAAGCTGACATTAGCACAGTACATAATGAAAGTAACAGGCGAAACGATTGACCGAAATACCCTTTTTTACATTCAAGGGAAGCGTATCCATGAATATAAAAGACAACTGTTGAATATCTTGGGTGCTGTTTATAGACACAAGGAACTAAAGGTCCGTACGTTATCCTATCGTTTCTAATTAAATACTGAATAGATGGATAATAAAAATCATAGTTATAGAAGAAGATACTAAACATTATGTTAATGTAATGCAATGCATGTTGAAACAGGAAATGAGCCCTGAAGAGCGAAAAGCCACAACACCAAGGACAATCATGATTGGAGGGAAAGCATTTGCAACATATACAAAGGCTAAAGAATAGTCAAACTTGTGGATGATGTTCGTGCTGTTGTGAAAACTGATCGTAAAGCTAATGAATACATGAAGGTAAAAATGGTTTCATATCTTTTTTTTGTGTTTGAACTTATTTATTATTGTAATTTTGTATTGCAGGTGGTTTGTGTGCCTAATTACAATGTATCTGTGGCGGAGGTACTTATACCAGGAAGTGAGGTGTCACAACATCTAAGTACAACTAGCATTGAAGCTAGCGGGACAAGTAATATGGAGTTTGCACTTAATGGATGCCCGATTATACGAACATTAGATGGGCTAATGTTGAAATCAGGGAGGAAGTTGGAGAGGACAAATTTTTCCTTTTTGGAGCAACAACAGATGAAGTTCCAAAGATCAGGAAAGACCGATAAAATGGACTGGTGAGAATACAAAAAAAACATTTGGTTTGTGTATGGTTAATTAAATATTATAGTTTATTTATTTTTTTGAATTTGCAGTTTAAACCGGATCCTCGATATGAAGAGGCTAAAGAATTCATAAGATCAAAGGCATTTGGAAGCTATGACTACAACCTACTTCTTGATTCTCTTGAAGTGAAACTCAGGGTATGGGCCTGGGGACTACTTTCTTGTTGGACATAACCTCCTGACCTACATAGACATTCAAGCCAAAGTAGATGAAGCATATAAGTAAACATCTTTCGAACCTTTTTATATATGTTTATAAAATGACCAAAATACCCTACCCTTTAACTGATTTCGTTATTGTGTTATAGGGATAGCAGTGACAGAACAATATCTCAATATGCAAAGGAGATTTAGAACATACAGGAATGCCCCCTACATTCTTTTTTTTGGTTAAAAAATAGTGATTTTAAGAATTTTTAACGAAATTGCCCCTGCATACTGTTTTTTTTAATAAAAAAAATAATGATTTTAATAGTTTTGACCAAACTGCCCCTACACAATTTTTTTGGTTAAAAAATAGTGATTTTAAGAGTTATTAGGATTTGTTGGCTTATGTGAATCTAATGGTTGCATAATTGAAATTTGCAGGTCTTGTTGATGTGCATAGTGTCAACTTGTTATATCAGGTAGATAAACTTGATTGTGTGATTAACAAAATACTTATATCACAACTCTATCAGGTAACTAAACTTGATTGTATTATTAATAAAAGTTTTTTTGTTTCAGCTAATGTTCAATTCATTACTTGCCATCCACGCCTGGTGGACAACAGCCCAGTACACCAGGCGGAAAACCAATGAAATGGAGGATTTTTTTTGACATGATATCTGACACAAAAAGGTGCATGTAAGTCCCTTCACTCGGATCTATCAATGTATCAATGCAATTGTTTGAATTAATGTGGAATCTTAATCAAACAATTATGTGAAACAAACAATTAGATGTATCAAGAACACGATTCAATGAATGCACACAATGCTATTAATCAATTGTCAAGTCCATTCAAAACACCCTTTAGCCTTTTAATCGCTAGTATTTCACCAAAACGCATTACCTTGGAAAAGCTATACACAAACCATATATATACTAAACCAATAACCTAAAGCCCAACATAATAAGCTCACCGAAAACACTAAGCCCACCGAAATCATTAAGAGATTTCGGTCCAAAACCGAAAACCATATAATACATTCAAAGCAAATCATAAACCACAAAATATAGCCCAACAATCTCCCCCTTGGTTTATTGCTTTTAGTTCTCTTCAAGGCTTCTCCACGAGATGCACGTCTGCCTGGTCAAAAGTCCATGGCCACAACTTCTTGTCAATTATTGTAGCTACCATGCCTGTGAAGGCCTTGCAGCAGCTTCAAACAGTACATTCTCAACAATTTTTTGAAAGTTTCACAAAGTATGGATATCTCGTTCTCCAAACTTCAATAAATCTTTGGGATCAAAAATACGATACTGGTTTTTTTTTTCAGCTTGATCACCATAGTTGCAGTAGCCTCATAAAAAATTCAGAATTTCATTGTGTCCAAAGTTCCTTCAAGTAGGCGTTTGGGAAGAGGAATCCTTTTACTTGCTTTGTGGGAGGCCACATGACATTCACCATGGTTTTATTAGTGCAAGGATCAATGACACCCTTGGCCTTTTTAGTGAACGATGAAGCAGTCTTTAAGTCATCAAAGTTGTTTTTCGCTTTAAGCTCAAGAAAATTCTTAAAAGACCAAGCCATGGGATCATTGGTTGGATTGTGGAAAGACGCGTGGATGAGCTCAGAAAGATTAACTTTTGTCCAGGAAAAGAAGTCAACTTTCTTATCATAGTATTCAATTATTCCACTCTTTCGCTTCACTACCCACATCCTTTTATCAGCATCATATCCCCACAAGATGATGCTAGAACGATCCCCATATTTTTCTGTGAATTTCTTCCTTGTTTCCCTGAAAAACATCTCAGGGTGATCACGTGGAACATTTTGGTCAGAATGCTTTATCACGAGCATCTTCCCTTTCAGCTGCTCAATCCTGATTTGCTTCTCTCTTCTTTCTTGAGCAGAAGCAGGACCAGAGGATAAGATGTTGGATAAGGTGTTTAAGTCCATAACTATTTCTGGTATGTACTTGACCCGACCCGGCATGGTCCATTTGGGTTGCATGGCATCATGCATTTGGATAAACTAAACGAGAGAAATAACACTTGTGGTTTATTAATATATTATAAGTTCTAATATATTAATAATATTATTTAGTTAGTATTGATCAAGAATTAATCTAGAATTAATTAAGTGATCAAAAAGAGACTAGTTAAATATATGGGTTGATTATGTAAATCATCCATAACTTGTATAGTGGGCTAAAGGCTTCATGGATTATCAAGTTGGGCTAAGGTCCATAGGAGGCTCCATGGATGCTCCATGGGAGTTACAAACCCATGGGTCATGGAAATGAAGAGCCATGTCACATTAGGGTTTACATGGTGTAACCCTAAGTGTAACACACTATATAAGGAACATAACATCCACCAAAAACGGCTACACTAAAAACGAATAGAGGGCAAGCCGAATTTAGAAGTGTTCTACATTCTCTCAAAGTCATTCCAAAGCACTTGGTGTTGTGTGAAACATTTGAGGCATCACACTTGGGGTGCTAGGCTCTCAAGGTTTTTCAAGGAATCAAATCAAATACAAGGTATGTAATTCTAGCCATCTTTTATGTTTAAAGTTCCCCATGTATGCTAGATAGGATTATAAACCTTGGAAAAAGTATTTTGCATGTATTTTAGACAAACATAGATCCAAGGTTTTCTAGGGTTGCATGTACACTTAGGAGTGTTAGAATGCTCAAAACCCATCGGTGGTATCAGAGCTTAGGCTTGTTTGTTTGATACTTGATGCAAAATTGTGAAAAAACTCATATTTATGCATTCTGAAGCATGAACTCGCCGAGTCCATGGGGGGACTCGACGAGCCCATGAGTAAACTCATCCTACTCGTCGAGTAGGTTCTTGCACTCGACGAGTAGGATCCCCTGAGTGCAGTTTTTTCGAGTTTTGCTGCTGGAAATGGACTAGAAACATTACCCTAAACTATTTTGGTGTTTTAAAACTTGTTTTAGATGGTGTAATGATTGTTCTAATCCATTTACAATGACTAATGTCAAAATTACATGATTATATGTGTTCATATGTTCTTGAAATTTTGATATGATTATTCATGTTCTTATGAGTTCTTGATAAATCATAGGAATTACTTGTTTAATGCTGAATTCATGATCTTTATGTGTTTTAATGGAGTCCATAACTTGTCCTCAAGTTATGGATAACCAAAAGTCACTTTGTATTAAATCCATTAAAAGAACACATAAGTTACAAAAATTAAGAGTCTTCATTTTAATAACTCATAAGTTATGAATTGAAAGGTTTTGTAAAGTTACAAAACTTGCCCTCAAGTTTTGGAACATGTAAAGTCATCTAGTAAACTTTAGTTCCAACCCCTAGAAATTTAAAAGTTAAAATTCAACCCTTATACTTTATAATATTATAAGTTAATAATATATATATATATATATATATATATATATATATATATATATATATATATATATATATATATATATATATATATATGTAGAAGATCATAGTCGTTTTAGCGTTAGTAGGCCTCATTCACGAATTCGGTCTAT